ACTAGTATAGTATACACTGATTATATTGTCAAAAACAAATTTATGCATTCAAAATATATCAATATAAATATTAATTTAATTTAATAAATATAAATTAGAATTTGAGATCAATTTGAGCTTCACCGAATTTGTCCTTATTAAAAATAATAATACCGCTTATATGGTTATATTATGTATTTTATTCTACAATACATTTGGATATACATATACGATATACCAAAATATGTTGCAGGTACCTATTACCTATATTATAATAAATAATAACTCACTTAAGCAAATATTATATGATATTATGTAGGATACACATAACACTTACATCGTAAATAAAATAAATAAACAAACATCCGAATACCGTATGATACCAGATACAGTTAACCTTAACAATAATATAGGTATTAGTGTATTATATACGATACAATACCTACAACAATAATACGGAATTCCAGACAATCGATCGATTTTACTACCTATCCAAACAGGCAGAAACGGGCGTAAGCTGGGTTCGTTTTTGGTACAACCCAGCTGATGTATATAATATGCATCCGTATCATTATACCTATATATTGCTATATATAAATATATTATAAAATTCAATACCAATAATTTCACTGAAACCTATACGGTTATGGTATATACGTGCTACAGCTAGCGTTTATTTAATTTTTGTATATTATAGTATTATATTATAGCGACGTATGTATGAAATAGTGGTGCGTAATGCGAACAGAAAATTATATTCATAAACGTGCAACCGAATAAACAATACGATAACCATACAGGAAGCGTGTAGGTATTAGATTTACAAAAAGAAAATAATGCGTTTTCTCTTTCGTCGCGTGCTGCGCGCAACACGTACCGCACACAAACGTACATTCACTATACACACACACAAACAAACAAACACACACACACACACACACACACACACACACACACACACACACACACACATACAAAGGGAAACGTCGTAGTAATTATTATTATTATTATATTATAATTTATACGTCGCACTCGCAACCGGACGGAGAGAATCATCGACACGGCCCGGCGGCGCAACGTTGTCGCCCGTTGTCCTAATTACGGCGTCGTCGTGTCCCCTCGTCGTCACCGGCGTAGTAATCGTAGCCGCCGCCACACCACGAGCAGTCCAGAACCGTCGAGTTGGCAACACTGCGGCAACGGCGAAATCCGCGTGTTTGTGTTGTGTCGGCCTTGAGTTGTTTTTGGAACGGACTGCGCTAACCGTCGGCGGCAACAAGCGGCGCATAGTTTTGAACGGCGGCGACGACGTATATATATTTTATTTACTAATGTCGTCGCGTCGTCGTCGTCCGTCGGCTGTGAAATAAATGTACACTAATAATCATAGTAATAATAATAATAATAATAATAGTTTGTAGAGAGAGGGGGCCTCCCGGGGACCGTGGTAGTCGACTGTCACGAGCTATAGTTATTATTATTTTTGATATTATTATTATTATTATTATTCTACACCCGTTTGCCTCAGCGTTTTTTTATTTAATCTACTATTTTACTATTCGCTAACACGACAGTTGACACTTGACTCCATATGAACGGATTGTAAAAAATTGATTATCAATAATCCGTATCATTGATATTAAAATATTGCGCTGACGATAGTGAAAAACATATACTCAAACTATATAAAACTTGGGTGTTTGGTGTGAAAGTCGGCCAAGAAGGTAAATATTTCGATTTGAACTCAAAAAGCCTATTTGATTTCAGTATTTTGTAGTACTTTAAACGCTGACCCTGGTAGGCAGAGGATCTGCTTGTTAACCCAACAAGTTTACCCCTCTCCCTACCTCAGCGTAACAAATTACCTTCGGCCTTCGCCACCAGTAAGAGCGCACGCGTGTGTCTGTATGTGTGAGCGTGTGCCGCCGCCGCGTCGTGTTACTATACAGCTTACTACAACCAAGTACTGACTATATATAAATATAATATTATAATACCGCACACGATTTTTTTTGCACGCACGTTCTGTTTACCACCTCCCTTCCGGCTTCCGCTACAGACGGCCGGTGATGGCTTAAAAAACGACGAACAGCCGCTCGTACTATTTATATGTGATAGGGGGCGAAAAATCTTTTTTTTTCACCATAATGTATTATATTATTATGATTTTATCGAAAGCACTGCAGTATGGACTTGCACATCATACCCTTGTGTGTTGTCTCCGTCTTATACTATCACATAATATACAAAAACTTAGTTCCATACTTCCAACTTCCAATTCTGTGTTTTTAGCTAAAATATTAGCGTGAATTGAGTGGCATTGACCTAAGAAAAATATTAAAACTTCAAAATGTTACTCGATACAGATAGTTAATATTGTCTTACCTTTATGTTTGATAATACGTTATTACAAATTTACACTCATATTAAAGGTAACCCAACAAAATTGGAATTGCTAAATGCAAATTTTCCAAATTTTCCATGTGAGATAAAGACAACATAAAATGCGGGTGTCGGGGTGTGACGTCCTCCGCCGTTTGTTTGTGTAATTCCTCAAAGATATTGTTGTTGACATTTTAACAAATTACCTATATTTTATTTATATTATTTAGTATTTACATCTAAATTACTAAGCTTAGTTAATTAACTAGTTTAGGAGAAGTAATGGCACCATAGTTCCTCCTCCGGTTCTCGATACCATGGAAAAAAAAAAGTTAATTAACTAGTTGATGCCACATTCCAGATTCCGGTAGGTATATATTCTATAATTTTAAGGTTTCATATATTTTGTAATATCTGGGTCGATATTTATTTTGTCATTACTCATCATCATTATAATGAATAATGAAAATAGATAGATACAGCTGAAGTGAGGGAATTACTAATGCAGTTACTAGTTTCGGGTTTATCAAATGTACCTATATAGGCACAGAGGCCTCGAATTTTACTATAGGTACACGTTTTATTAAAAATAAAATTTAAACACAAAGTGTCAAGTAACATAATATGACGTTTTAGAAAAAATAATTCCTATATAGGTATACGCCACTGATGGAGGGGGCTATAGCCCCTTCACCCCCTGGCTACGCCACTGCCATGTCAGCTAGTTTATGATAAAATATAACATATAATGGAAATAAAACTGTTATATTTTAAAAACTCCGTAATCAAATTTTCAACAAGGGGTCAAGATACTATCGAGTATAATAATATGTCTAAAGGCCAAGGCCTCTTAAATATTTTTGCACATATCTCGAAAGTGTGATTGTGGCACTGCATGATTAGTCCACATAGTAAATAAAATTATGTTATCTGAATATTTACGTTTAATATTATAACACTTTGGATAATATCCAAATTCCTAGCTAAGTATACCTACATACTTTGAATTATCTACTTGTTCTGAGATTTAAACATCGGTGTATGCTGAAATATAGTACTTGTATTTTTTTTAAATTATTTAATGAGTCTTGTAATAGTAATGTTATCCTTTTCAATAGAAATTTATAAGATCATATTCATAATTTATGATGAAAAAATATATAAATTATAATAATATGTATCTACATTTTGAAAAATTATATACATATAAATAAAATATTATAAAACACCTATAATACATATTACATAGTCTATACTTCATAGTTTATACCATACTATATATAATACGTAATACATGTATCATATCACAATAATTTTTACAACAATTTTTATAGTTCCAAGTACCAACACTACCAACCATAAAATATATTATAGGTTTATTACTGTGCAGTATAGTACTACCTTTATAGACTATACCTAAAGTATATTAAAATAAATAATTATTCATTATATTGACTACAGTCATTGGCGCAACTAGGGGGTTCAAAAGGGTCTTGAGCATCCCCAAGTTCTAATTTAGCACCCCACGTTTTAGAGATCTAGTTGAGCCTAGGACTACAGTTTACGCACGATTG